TAAACACACGTAATTATGAACGATCTGGACGAGCGGATTGTCCATGTTTGGCGATCCGAGTACACACTTTGAGTCCAGAGGCGGATCCAGCAATTTGGCAACAACTGATTTCCTCCATTTAAACCTATGCTAAATAATCGATTCTCGTCGGAGCACCTCGCCCCTCCAAGAATCGATACTTTTCCATGGGTTAAAATGGAGGAAATCCGGTGTTGCCAAATTGCTGGATCTGCCAATGTTTGAGTCTAGGTTACCCTACTACTTACACGGTAAGAAAAAGTTGAACACATGTAGGGAGAGTACGGAAATGTCAGTAATTTAGTAGTTCGGAAGTTCTTTTGGTTGATCTGACCGTAACAAATTAACTCTAACTTTTAAAGTTTTAACTGTGTGTAGCGCTTGACGCATCAGTCTAAGCCACCGATCTCGATGTGTCCGTGAATCAGCTGAATTTTCATGAACTATCTGACATCCTCGGTTGCGCAACGCCCGAAAAAAGGGCGAATACCGCGGGTTTTCTCTTTGCGAAATTTTTACGAGGCTAATTTTCCTCGAAATTACTGCCGGGTGAGCGGGCGGCAAAGGGCCGAACGCATGCCGAATCGGGGAAATTGAAATGCTCCGGCGGAATTATTTCATAACCGGGTCAGTGTGCGAATGTGACGCCATCATCGCGGCGGCGTCGCGCCTTGTCGCGCCTTCGCTTTTCCTGCCTTTGCCCCTTTTCAAAGGCCGGGGCCCGCCTCAATAGGTGTCCGCTGGGTGCAGGTACCAGGGTACCTAGCTGATGTTTCGTCCACCTTTTTCACGACGCCCGCTCATAGCTGCCACGTTTTCATCAAAATCAGCACTTTTCCCCCGTGTATCTCACTGGAGAAAAAAACACATTGGATCTAGAGTCCAGACTCTTAAAAACATCGACAAGAAAAAGTACTCTTGATTCAATCAGAATCTAGCCTAAATAAAAAACCAAGCCTCTTAATTTAAGCGGATTTCGGTTTGATTCAAGCAAAAATCCGATTGAATCAAGAGTATTTTTTCTTGTCAATGTTTTCAAGAGTCTGAACTCTAGATCCAATTTGTTTTTTTGTTTTTTTTCCAGTGCTGGATGACTCGAATTGAGCAAGCGAAGCACCTCAACGAAGAACTGCGAAAATGTGTACCTCGGTTGCGGTGTTTCGAAATCTTCGCTACTATTTTGTTTTTTAAAGGAGACCGAAGCAACAGAATGGCTTGAAGTTTCCACCGAATATTCTTTATATAGAGAGAAAAAAATCACTGAAATTTTCAAAAAAAAAAAGACACTTAAACTCAGGCTAAGACTTTCACTGGGGGCTGATCTTAACCAAAGGTTCTAATTTTGGTCCCAGAAAATGAAAATCTCAGGTTCTCAGAAAAGGGCCAAGAACAGCTCTTTTTGGAGAGGGTTTAATCATCGCATAATCTTACAACATTGTACACCTTCCCCTCGCTCCCCCTGGGCTATTTTCGCGGCGATCGGCGCTGACAGAAAGGTGACTCGTTTCATTCAAAAACCTGACTTTTCGTGCCTTCGTAGACTGACTTCCCGCCCGATACTATCAAACAAAATCATAATATCCAAAATGTGTGTCGCCGTAAGATTAGACTGTGTATCTCTTTCGACAACATTACCTACACATATTCTATGAAGCAATGCAAGAGAGGAAAAAAGACTTTCAGTGATTTTTATAATCATTTATTAACAATTTTTCATGCTCATAATTATTTACTTTAACTAAAAAAAGTACGTCTTATGCTTCTTGCATTGAAATTCTCATGACTCTGAAAACTCCTGATCGACCAGAGCCCAGATCGATACAAATTTGATCAAACTTTTATAGAAAATACATATTTGATGTAAAATGATTTCATTGCCGTAGTGATTCATAATTACAATGCCGATATATCAGCTCCAACACTAAATATTTGATTTTAACAGGATTTTTTTTTTTTTTTTAAGAAATTCGCAATTTTCGAGTTTTTCACTAATGCTCTAATAAATTATCCACACAAAAAATAGCGTATGAGCCAGAAAATCCCTGAATGTAGCAGCCTGCGATTCAAATTTAATACCTATCAAACCATAACTGCTGGGTTTTGTTTTCTTTGAAAGAGGAAAAGAAAAAATCGAGAAACACAATAATGAATAATTAAAATCGGTTCACTTTCTTCTCCTGAGGCACGAATTTCCGCCCTTTGGGCTCAGCATCATTATTTTCCAGTAACAGCTCTGTTTTTAGGGTACAGATGCATTTCATCATATACTCACGGCAAATTCGTATGCATGACTTGAGAGACTTTAACGATGCGTAAAGAAAGTAAACTATCAAAAATTCAGTTAATTTCTCTCTGCTGATGCCGCTTCCACACCGAGTGTGATGAACAAACAACCAGTGGTAGTATTAGTACACACATCTAAAAGAAATTCAAGTGTACGACTCGAGAGACTTTAACGATAGGGAAAGAAAATAAACTATTAAAAACCCAGTAAATTTTTCTTTGCTCATGCCGTTGTCACACTATGTGTGTTGGATTAAACAAAAAACCAGTGTCAAACCACACATTTAGAAGAAAATTGTATCCATGACTTGAGAGACTTTAACAATGGGTAAAGGAAGTAAACTCTTAAAAATGCCGCGCAAATGCGCTAAATTAAAAATGCTATGACTATTATACCGCTTTCAAACCGAGGGCGTTGAAACAAAAAACCAGCGTCATTTCACACATCTAGAGGAAAATTTTTTTCAGAAGCCCCTCCAAATAGCTCGGAGAAAACGAATTTACTCCAAAAATGCTAATGAGGAACTCTGAAAGCTATATACCAATTACAGATTTTATCTTAAGCTGTTTTTGCTCGATTAAAAGTAGTGACGCTTCTCGGAACACCGTTTTTCTTCTATTCAAATACGTGGTAAATAATCGATTTAGGTTGGATAATCTACTTCGATAGATATCGATTATTTTACATTAATTTAAATTGATGAAACTCAGTGGTTGCCGACTTGCAAGAATCGCAAACGGTCAAGTCGTCTTTTTCATGACAGAAGGACGAAAATAAACAAAATAGGCTCTTTTATCCACATAGGTAAGTTCATACTTTTGGGGGCTTACGCGATAATGATGTTGATCCTTTTTGTCAGTAAAAAAGCGGGCTCTCATGCAATTGTGTCAAATGTCAGCAGGTCAACTGAATATTTCAGTGCGAAGTATTTTGGCGGTCATTGGTTGGTAGGAAACTCTCCATCCATCATGCACGAAATGGAAAAGTGTGCAAAGTAGGGTGGAAATTGTTTTGAGATCAACTTTTCGGCGGAAACAGCTCAAATTTGCTCACGAGATTACTCAGTTTTCAAAATTTTCCGCCTGAAGACCCCCCTTTGATGCCAGGGAAATCCCTCGAATCCTCATTTAGAGTTGAAGGAGTCCCGCAGATCCTCCTTACTGCCGTACTAAGAAAAAACGCCGTACGGGCCTTCAAGCGTTGCCAAATTTCCTTCGATAAACCACGAATTTCTTGGTTAACTTATGAATTTTTTCCTGTCAATTTTTCAAATAATTTCGTTTTCTACTTTTCCCCGAAGTTCCTGAAAATTTCAAGGAAAAATATTCATTACCTTCCTCAACAGTTGATATTTTATCGAAGGAAATTTGGCAACTCTCGAATGATCATACGGCGTTTTTCCTTAGCACTGCAGCATAGTGACGTATCTTTTTGTGGCCCGTGCACAGGCTCCCCTTGATGAGTTGCCCTTCTCGCCCTCCCCCACGTAAACTTCATAGTTCTGCCCATTGTGCTAAGCATTGGCGGATCTAGCAAATTGGCGACATTGTCTTTTCTTCATTTCAACCTATGGAAATGCATCGATCCGTAGAGGGGCCAAGAGCTCGTAGATGAATAATTTATTTAGTATAGGTTTAAATGGAGGAAATCCGGTGTTGCCAAATTGCTGGATCCGCCTCACAGTGGATCGAGTCAATCAGAGAGGTCGGACATTAAATTTTTGACTAAAACTGCAAAATTTGAAGTTTGTTTCGTTAAATTTTAGACTTTGAGGGGTGCTTCTAAGAGAAAATTTTACGAGGAAACTAATGGAGCCACTTTTAGAACCTCAAAGTCTTGTATGAACGGAGTTATAAGCGTTTAAAGTTTTCAAATTTTGTCCGACCTCTCCTGTTGACTCAGTCCACTGTGCGCCTCCGGTGCTGAGAGATCTCCTGCTCGAAAAATAAAAATTGGTTAGAAATAAGAGAAAAAAAGAAAAAAGGAAGAAAAATAAAAACACTGAAAAAAAACTCCGGCCGTGGGAGCCGCAATTACGGGCTACATGGACATACCGTCCGTTCCGGGCTCAAAGGCAAAAAATTCCGGCTGCTGGAGCCGTAGCTTCGGCCTCTGAACCCGGAGCGATCGAAGCTACGCCTCTAGCAGCCGGAATTTTCGGCCTTTGAGCCCGGAATGGACGGTATGTCTATATAGCCCGTAATTGCGGCTCCCACGGCCGGAGTTTTTTTTTAGTGAAGGGGAAGGCCTTGTCTCCACGGGACGTTTTCATGGGATTTGTCCCAAGTTCGAATCGCAGGAGTGAAACTTTTGGGATGTTTCCCAGTTACCGTCTCCACGGGACGGGGCTCATACAGTCCTGCGACTAGTTTGCGCGGGAAGATAAATTAGTTGAAGTCGAGTATTTAACCGGGATTAAAATAACAATTGCACTCAATTGACAATTCGACACATTATTTGAACTAAACAAACATGAACAATGTAGTAATGAATAAAATATCGCACAATTCGTTTTCACTTCTTCTTCTTCTCTCAGTGGGCCCTAGGGGTACAAGTACCATACTTGGTACTGGGAAAAATATTGATTAACTCAATATTTTTCCCAACTTCGTTAGTGGGATTTTTCCCTGGGACAAATCTCGAGAAACGGCTCGTGGAGACAAGGCCGAAAAAACCATGGAAAGGTGAAGGAACTTACCGAAATGGGTGCCGTTCTCCTGGGCGCACTTGTCGTTGGGGGTGTTGAAGTCGACGAAGAACATGAGGACGAAGTGTCCGAAGCGGAGGTTGGGGTAGGGGTCGAGGACGAGGATTGCGTCATGGCTGCCGGCGTGGCGGGCCTCGCCGTCGGGGAAGACGGCCGTGAGCGGGCCGTTGGAGTTGGGCCCGGCCGCGTAGAGGCGCACCTCCGCCTTGGGGCGCCCCGTCACGTCCAGGCACGTCTTCTCGTCCGCGAAGACGGGCTCCGCGCAGGACTGCGACTTGAGCCAGGCGTACGCGCCGTTCGCCCAGGAGAGGATCTGCTCCCGCCCGGAGAACGACTGCTCCAGCACCGCGTCCAGCTTCGTGATCAGCGACACGCTCAGCACGATCACCGCCATCACGAACAGCTGCATCTTCGCGGGTACCCGGTACCGATGGGAACGCAACTTGTGGGGAAAGGAAGGACCCGCGGAGAACGGAGGCGAGAGGTTGTCGACCGGGTCGGGTTCTTGACGAAAGAGGGAAGCAGTTGTCGAACGAAGACGTGCAGTTGTCGAACGATGAAGAGTGGTAGTCGAACGAAGACGGACAGTTGCCGAAAGAAGGCGGGTAGTTGTCGAACGAAGACGAGCAGTTGTCGAACGAAGACGAGCAGTTGTCGAACGATGACGAGTGGTAGTCGAACGAAGACGAGCAGTTGCCGAAAGAAGGCGGGTAGTTGCCGAACGAAGACGAGCAATTGTCAAACGAAGACGAGCAGTTGTCGAACGATGACGAGTAGTAGTCGAACGAAGACGAGCGGTTGTCGAACGAAGACAGGAAGCTGAAGAACCACCAGTAGCGAGGCAGCAGAAGACCAGCAGTTATACTGAACGCACGCCGGGGGTTGTAAAGCGAAGACAGGCAAGTGGCGAATGGAGGATATCACGGTGATCGACTGGAGGCCACTTCAGACGACATCAATTCAATGAGAGGTCACATAAAGAAAGCAAAGTTTCAGCGACGAAAATTTGAAAATTTCGGTGACGATCGCTATCGAAAAGAGTTATAAACTGTTTTCCTCCTGGTTTTGTTTGAGGACTGCTCTTTGGAGATGGAGAGGTTACGCGTCCTCAGATTCGGAAAGGACACTCATCGTGGCGAGGATGATGTTTCCGACACTCTGCGCACTTTTTTCTACACGAAAATATGACAACGGTAAAGGAGGGAAAAATTACTGAGTCTTTTCCACTAGTTTACAGTTTCAAGCTCCGCACATTTTCTGAATTTTAGTCCCGAATGATCTGATTCCTCGCGGATACGCGACTCGATGACAGAAATAGCACACCTTCGGTATAACTATATTCAATAATAAAAATGTTACATTGGGCTCAAATTTTTACGATGGTCTGACGGAACACAGAAGTGGGGCGATTTAAGAGCTGACGGGTACCTACCAAATCGAATAATAAGATGGCAAAAATTTCAAGAGATCGAGAAGTAAACACTCAAAATTTTACCTTAGGGTGTGGTAAATTGTTTAACACTTTTATAAAACACACTCGACGATGACACTTAAACTTTAAGTACTCTAGGCGATAAGAAACGATAGTACAGGAAGTACTCCAGAGACGAAAATGATTGTAAGATGGGAAGATGGAGGATACTTTTTTCGAGGTGAAATTTTTCCGAGGAGCCCGAAAAATTCGCACGCACCCAGAAAAAACAAGTCAAAATTTCGCGTTGACACGGCAGGAAACTAGCGCGAACGACTCGCGCGAATAACAAACACGAGAGAAGGAAGCTGGTGCTCGGTTGAAAAAACACAGGAAAGACCGAAAACTCACGTGTGCTGATGTAGCGAGGACCAAAGGAGCCGACACGGAGCTAGCTGCGACTACGGCGAGAGCGCGCGGAAGATTGACATAGTTAAAGTGTCTTCAGTGAAGGAAGAACATGAGTTCAGAGAACATTCGGAACAGGAGGTGAGCTCTCTGTCCGCCGCCCCGCCCCTCGCCTAGCGCGGACCGCCTCCCGCCTGCCCTGGGCCGCCCCTGATGCCTGGTAAAAAAGGCGCCTTCCGCGGCGCTGGATACCACCCGCGGGACATCCATGGACCGATTCCCATGCCGCGGCTGCCGTGTTACCGGAAAGAGCAGAATGTCGATGGCTTTAACGCAAAACTACGTACCTTGCAGATTTCCGGTTTTACTGTATGTTTTCTTCGGAAAAGTCCACGTACTTTCTTGGAAACCATTTTGGTTTTTCTTCACTGTGAGAAAAATATTCATTATAAATTCAAAGTTATAAATTTGGCCTGTTTCTTTTCGGAAAAATGGACCGCGTCGAGCAGAAAGGAACTAAGTCACATCAGCTATTGCGTAATTTAATTGAGCAATTTAATAATTTACATGAAAACGGTTGTGCAGATTTTTGTGCAAATTGCAGTGAATTTTCTGCATTGCACGAAGCTCACTCTCAAATGGACCCGCACAAACTTCCTCTTGTAAAAAATTGAATTACCTCGTTAAATTTGGCAATGACTGATATGGCTTGGTTCCTTCCTGCTACACGCGGTCTAAATAAAATATGAGCAAAACTTTTAAAACAACAGAATAGATGTACGTGGTTTCACACTTTTGCAATTGAATTGCGAAAATGTGGTAAAGGTTTGAGGGTCAGGGAGGCTTAATCGCGCATTGGGCAGTTGTAAAGTTTTACTTGACAGTTTATTCGTTTGATATCGTCCATAGAAAAAGAGAACTTAGTCCATAGAGATAAAAGTTTTGATAGAGTTTTCGTCGAGATGAATCCAAAATGATTTGAAGATTTCGACAGATAACTCTCTCTAATATCCTCCGAAAAACTCAAGTGCGAGTGGTGCATTTCATTTTTGTGCCATATCAGACAGCGAAAATTTGCAATGCTATTCTGTTATTCCGTGCCCTTGGCAGAACTTGGCAGATTAGATTTCATAATAGCTTCAACTCGAAATTACGGTCTTTCGACTTTTTATTTCAGACCGTCATAGCTGAATGGTTTAACATCGTTGGGAATTTTTATCGCAAAATGTCATTAGAATACTTTTCCAAGGAAATTTTGGGGCTGTGAGGTCCCTTCTTCCTTGAACGGTCACATTTCTTCAAGAGCGGTTGGGATTTAACTTTCGAAACTTGTTGTGAATTTGTAATGTATTTCAACGAAAATTTCCTGCAATTTCTTGCACTTACAGAAGGTCTTGCGATTTGAAACTTACGTCGTCAATGCATATAAAAATAAATCGTCAGGCGAATCTTCGAAACATTGCAACGCAATAAAAATCTGGCTTACCTAAGCTCTCACCTCTTCGAGCTTTGAGATAATAGACCTCTTGTGTCCAAGCAAAATATGTTCCTAAACAGTGCCTGAGCTTTTCATATGAGCACATAATTTTTAATAACCGCCCAGAAAGCTCTTCGAAAGTATTCCAGTGATTAAGAATCGACAATTTTTTCTCTAATATTGTAGAAAAAGGACTCGTTTACCTAATTTTAGGTGAGACAGTCGCACATACGTAGGTACCTACTTGCAATCCTGAGCGTGCCTGCAAAAACGCAAATTTTGCGCACTAAATGCGCTTTCATAATTTTCTGGATTTTTTCTCCTATCCAAGAAAAGCCAGTATTGCTATGCTAGCGGCAATATCTAGTTTATTTAAAGTAGAAAGTAGATTATTATTTTTTTTTTTAAAAAAAAGGACGATTTTGGAGATTCTACTTTTGAGTCTTCTCCGAATAACATGACAAAGGGGACGAATGAGGTATATGCCAAGAAAAAAGATAAACTCTCGAATAGTTTTTAAATAATAAACTATTCGCCCTTGGCGGCTATGGTAAGATGTATCTTTTCTTAATAAATGCGTTTTTTATGCGTCGTCACCCTTCATGAACAAATCATTAAACAATCGCACTTAATCCTTAATCACTAGTCTTAGCTGCTACACTGTTGACTGGATTTTTGAACGATACAACTATTCGGCCTCCGCGGCCTTGCTAGGAAGTATCATTTCTCAATGAAGGCGTTTCTTACGCGTCAACATTCTTTATTAACACATTAACTGAGGCGATCGCCCTTAGGGATCACATTCATGGTCGTTCTTGAATATTTCCTTTCCTTAGGAAGCTCTGTAATGGTTTACACTATGCCCAAGTAGCATTTTTCAACGGAAAAATCGCGATTTGTTGCGATTTTGTCGGCGATAAAATCGCTAAGATCATCAACAAATATCTGAGCGATTATCCTCGATCTTGGTGCAATTAAATCGCGATTTCATCGCCCGGTAATTTATCGCGATATCGCAACATAAATCGCGATATATGACGATTTAATCTCGATTTTATCGACGAAAATTGATCGCGATTTTATTGAACAAAAAATTGCGATTCGTAGCGATTTAATCGCCATAAATCGCAATTTTTTATTCAATAATATTGCGATAAATTGCCACCGACATAATCGCGATAATCAACCGATAAAATCGCGATCACTGCTACTTTGGGTGTCTATAGAAAATTTAAGGGAAAATTTAATTTTTTTGCATTTTACAATGAAGAGCTACAATTTCTGGCTCCCACGTAAAAACAACTACCTTCATAGGGAAACTAATGGCACGCGTTGTTTCTAAAATGAGGCAGAAATTGTAGTTCCTAATTGCAAAATGGAGTCCGATTAAAGCAAGCAGCGGGACGAATATGTTTTTTCATGGTTTGCTAATCGATAAAATCGGTAAACTCCTCATTTTTCTCCCTCCTCTTTTTTCACTTAATTTCCTAACCCCCATTTTAGCGCCTTTGTTGTGTTGGCGCCTGGTTAAGCCGCTCTTCTTGCGCAACCCTGAATCCGGCCCTTTCTGTTCTTGTTATCTAAAATTCTCTCATGCCATAAAGAACAAAAAATTAGAGTTGTCGTCCGTGCTGTGATGTTTGTGAGTACACAGAGAAAAAGAAAGAAAGTAGTAGTAGTATAGTAAGATAAGTTTATTTTAAAGCGGTGCTTTAGCATCTAAGGCCATTTACACCTCTGTGTGTTTACATGATAGGTAGATAGATGGAAAGCAAGAAAGAAAGAAAGAAAAAAAGAAAAAAAAAAAGTTAGATGCTCACCTTCATTTCACAGAGAGTGGGAATAGAACTTGATCGCCGGCAGCAGACCGGCGTGACAGCGCCTGGCCTCCTGGAGAGATGCAACTATTACTACTTGATGGATATCTAAGTTGCATACGCAAATAAATGAAGGCGTTCTGATTGCAGATGCAGTACCTAGTGATGGTGATAAATTTTAGGTAAAAATATCTTTAACTTCCTTCAATGACTAATGCTATTAGAACAATTTTTGGTTTGATGATAAATTGGTCATATATTTTGGTTGGTAAATGATTATTATTAAGTTCCGTGGAGAAATAGACCATTATTCACAAAAAATTACTTTGGTGAGAATGGGGAAAGTAAGTTTTAAAAAATGCATAAAGTGTATTGATAAAGATTTAATGGAGTTAAAAAGACCGCAGGCAAAAATAATGAACAATCTTTCTGTAATTTTATTAAGATTGTAATAAAATCACAAGGTTAAAAAAAGGATGATAAAAACGGTTATAAAAAAAAATTAAAAATCAGGTACCAGACAAACAACCAAAAATGTAGATTTAGTAAAAAACAATATGATTGAAAAATTATTCTAAATTGATTCTGAGACAGTAAAATACCGAATACATCGACAAACTCATTAAAAAAAGAAAACAAGGTTTCAAATTAAACATCTATTCCTTATTAGTATGTGTAAACAAAAAGTTTTACTCTTCATGCCAAGTGGGAAGTTAATGTTTGAGAGAAAATACATTTTTTTATTTTTCTATCATGCAAAATTAAAGTAAAAACTTGTTACTGTCAGCGAGAAAGGGGACTTGGCTGAAGAAAACAAGAACACCTCTTTTCTCTAAAGAAATTTGAGGTATTAAGACCCTTTTCTTCCTTTTCAAAAGATGGCTATCCACACATAAGCACTGCAAGTTGAGTGCAGACAACACCAAGAAAAGGCACCTAAAATTTTTAGGCACTGTTTAGCAAAGGAAAACCGAGTGAACTTGACTAGTATTAAAGTGAAAATAGATTTGAATGCCCAATGTATAAAGTAAACTTCAAATCATATTAAATATTCTTTCAGGACATTTAATTTTTAGCAAGATAAAAAATTACTCCTAATTAAATTTGGGACAGTCCTCATTTCAATTCTTGTGAGTATGTAACTTGGTTCCTTTTTGCTAAACGCTAGTAAAATTTTTTCTCTGCATTCTTGATGAAAAAAGTACCAAATAATGATAAAAGAGGAAGAAATTTTGATCTGATGACCGACATGGATCAAGTGGGGACCAAGTGTACTATCATTTAAAAAAATAGTTTGATAAAGAACTGACAGTTGCATCGGCGCTACTGATGAGGTCCTAAAATAGAACTTAAAAGAGGTTATCTTCTAGATTGTTAATAGGCTAACTTTCAATAAATAAAAATCTTGACAACAGTAGTCGGGATGCTGTTCACTGGGAGGCACTGCTGAGAATTTGAAATGTTCTTTTGCGCGTTTATAAAATGCATCAAAAATTTCTTTCTGCTTCTCGGATTGTCTTTTTTCATGACACAGTATTAGTGTCGTATTTTTATCAGAGAGCAACAACAAGGTTGACACCAGAGCCTCCACGGACTGCAAGAATAAAAACAAAAAAATTAATAATTAATCATGAAATTTGCAAAAATCACTGTAAAAGTGTCTACAATTTTTTTTTGAAGACTTTTCAAAATTATATGAAAAAAAGAGGGAGAAAGTGAAAAAATTAAAGATTTTTTTTTTTTAAAAAAATGTAAGTACCTAGATGCAGAGAGCTCATAAGTCATGAGTCGGAAGAAAAGCAATGAAATGTTAGTTTTTGTCTTCTCTCTCTTGGAACCCTAAAATAATTACAGTCATTTAAAATCAGAGGAGAAAACTGATTACTTATGGGATATCCTAAGTACACACCTCTTTATAGTAAATGACGTCTGCCATTAGGATGATGTCAGGTTTTGGAAGTAACTTAATATTCTCAGCGTCACCCCAGCGCAGAGTTTGAGCACTGATTTTTCCACCAGTTTCTTCAATTTGTTGAGAATTCGCTGAGATATTTTTTTCCAGAAGTGGCAAAATTTCAGGCAAGTCTGTCACAATTACATCACCTCTGCAATAAATTACAACTTTGTTAGATTATACAAGATTTTTAATGATGACAAAAAAATTGGGAAAATAAAATCAGACAAAACTGAAAATTTTATCATAATTTAAAGTTGTCATTTATTGAGCATTTTTAAGATTTATTATTTATGATCATGATTTATTCAGGATTTATTTGAGAAAATTGCATGGAATCACAAAGGAGTTGCTGACCATGAAATCACAAAATACTAGCGATCACAACACAGCTGACAATCAGCACAATCAAGCATAATTAAATAGACAATCAAACAGTACCTTGAAAATTAGTATTTGACAACATTTAACTTTCTTCTTATCCTCATTGTAAGTAAATCCTAGTTTTAGCAAAGTTGCTTTCAGGGCCTTGTGTATGATGCCGAGATGCACCATCAGAATTTTTTTCCTAGTCTATACAGAGAGAAAAATTTTCTGTTGAATCGATAGAAATTCCACTTAATAATTCTGGACATGAATTTTTGTTGGGTGAATAGGAAATCTCCTTTTTTGAACATCATCTCTGTTATATCAATGAGATGTCCTGTCACTTTAAATTATGGTTAACTCCACAAGACTTCTCTCCGGGAATCATTGATTGGATATATTACTCAGTGTATGTTGCACTCTCTCAGCACGACAAAGTTCCGTGCCTCTTGTGAAAAATTTGGTCAAAAGGATATAAGCCCTTTTTCATATCCATCATTCATGTAATGAAATATTTTGAAGTATGGTTTGAGTGTTTCTGCGAAAGGAATTATAATGATGTTGCCTCTAATACATACCCCAAGCATGCTGCCACAATGCCAACGCATCCAACCCCTGCTCCAAGTTCAAGAATTTTTCGTCCTTGCAACCAAGGACTCTTCGCGCAAGAAACTTCCAAGTATTTAGAGAGTACAAGAGCTGCATCCCAAACGACACAACCCACATCACCAATTGTACACTGATATAAATCAAGAGATTTATTGATGGTTTCAATGTCCAATTTTCGTACAAAAAAATCGTCCATCCTCTGAAACTAAATTAAGCATGGTAAGAAACAGTTAGAGTCAAATGATATATAGAAGCATAGAGAGAGTTATAGATGAATATATTTAATAATATTTAAGTGCTGTACTTATAAAACAACACTTGAATATATTTAAATAAGTAAATATAAAAAATATATTTAATAAACATTAGCAAGTAAAGATATAGAAGAATAGATTTAATAATATTTAAGTGTTGCAATGATAAAACAACACTTAAACAACTTAATCAATTGATGAAGGGTCGGAGAAGACAAAAAAAAGACCAGAAGGAGCTAGGAATTTGTAAGTTAAAACTGTAGGTAACAAATGGAGGGGACACGCAAGCTCTAGAGGGTATTAGTTACGCCTCTCTTAGAACTGCTTTTTGATGGCTCAAGCTTGGATTAGCAAAGTTGCCAATTCGCAGGGTGCCTAACTGATAGTCATTGCATGGAAAAAATCTTGTGTGATTTTACTCGGCCCTTAATGAGAATTTTCTCTGCGAATTTTATACAAAAGCCCAATATTCTTTGGGAAGAAAATGAAGGAGCAGAAATTTTGACGCACCTTGTCTAAGATCTGTGTTTTGGTAGTTTCATCGCCAATAATTATGATATGCTTGCAGAGTAAGTATGCGAGATATCTGCAACTATCGATGCTGTGCATATGAGCTTTAAGTGCGGTATTATATTAAGAAAATATAACTTACGAGGTAATATCTGCTACGACGAAGACTTTAGAAAAAAGACGCTGGTCCTCAAAAAGTACATCAGTGAAATAGGTGACCTAAACAATCATACTTCATCATTATCAAGATGTATTTTTGAGAATCACACTACAGTTTTATTTCATCTCACAGACGGATTTAATGCAGGCATTATAAAGAAAGAAATTCTAAAATCATGTTAGAACAAAAAAGTAAACTTCTTGACTGTTAACACTAGTCCACATGCATTTGTTTTGTTTACAATATTCCAGCAGCGAATTTAACGCTACCTAGGTGCAAAACAAAAAAACTAAAAAAAATTACTTATCGCAATCGTTGATAGATAGCGTTACCAGTAATAATTGTTGTTGTTGTTTGTAGGTTTCAAAAATCAACAAACCTTCGTGTCCACCAACAATAAAACTGTTCTTTTTTCTATCATTTCTATCACTTTTTTGTCCCTCAAATCTGATAATTTAGGGAAACTTGTAAGTTTGGTTACAACTTCATCTCTCATGTAATATCTAATTCATTCATTTATGACAAATAATATTGCACAGTCTTTATTACCGTGCTCTCCTTGCTGAGGTTATAACTGCATTTTCTGAGGTTCCAGTCGCAGCGAAATGACCGAGTTTCTCGCTTCACCTGTTCTTTGAAGAATAACTAGACAAAGGAATTAAAAGTATGGAGAATCTCAAGAATAAAGTACTTGGACTAATCAACAAACAGGTTTGTACATTTCTTTGTATCAGCATATTTTTCATCGAGAAGGGTTGGTCATGCCGAAGAATCGTCTGTTTTCAATCTTGACTCACTTTTTGAGTTCATTCCTCATTTTCTCAAGCCCTCGAAGAAAATCAGCAGCATTGGAGCAAAGCCTTGCTGAAGTTTCAATTATAAATCTATAGATCATTGGATGATCCCTGCGAAGCTTACCCTGATTCAATGGACGCCATATTTTGTGTCAAGACTGCATGCGATACATCACATCGATTAGTTCCACGTTTTTAGCTACTCATCATTTTTCTTGAATTTCGAGATTGCAATTTTGTTGACAGGAGACTCAAGAATTCATTTACTAATATTGACAAACAAATTCAACGTAATAAAGGCGTGGTTTTTTGGGAGAAAAAATATCGCATTTGAGTGCAGTTTGGATATCAGTATCGAATGTGATATTTTCCCTCCAAAATAACCACGCCTTTATTACATCATTGAATTTGTTTGTGAAATTGGTACCTAAGTGAATTCTGTATTCTCCTGACAGCAAAACTGCGATCTCAAAATTTGAGGAAAATGACAAGTAGCTGAGAAAATGGAACTAATCGATGCCATATATCGCATGTTGTTCTGACACAAAATATGGCATCCATCGAATCACCTTAATGAAGCAAGTTGCATGTGGTCCAGACAAGAAAGAAGCGCACTACTTTTCCTCAGATTTTAGAGGATTGAGGGGCTCATTGCAGTGTAGTTATGTCCTTTTGTGAGGACGGCGTAATGATTCAATGATTATATCTTTCTCACGCTCCTGTCCTATATGATCATTCACTTTATTTGGTAATTTCTCGTCTTCTCTCTTTCAGGGCTCGGAGGGGAAAATTCCCATCATTAGTTTTGATCAAGATGCGTCTCAATTTTTTGGTCAAGATGAAGATGAGCCGCCTTTACCAAGTGTGTCAACTTACACAGATGAGAACAGGAAATGTGACACTGAGATACTAGAAAGCATCAATCCTGATTATTTTCAAAATAACGGCTTTGATGCTTGTGCGTATGAACTAGAGGTGGGTACTTATTAATGAATTTTGCTTCTTCTTTTTTTTTTTTTTGATGTCTTTTAATTTCGAGTTAGGTTACCTGAAGGTTGGACTGAAGGGAAGCTACCTAGTTAAACCTCAAAATGCTCTTTAGAAAAAGTTGCATAATATTTGGAACATTGCAATGATCTTGTAACCTTCCTAAGTTTGGTCCTTCTTAAATGATATCTCAAGTCAAATTGTTTTAAAAAAGGTGCTAAAGGAGATTATTAACCAATGAAATCACTCAATATTAACAATGCCTCTCTTGTGCTAAGTTTCTCATTCTTAGCAGCAGAGGGATTTTAGGAGATGTTTTCCTTTGGCTGATAGATACCCTCTGTCGTGTCAAAGAGTTTTAGGCACATTTCAAGGTGGCTCAGTTACATTATTTCATGGTACGATTGATAAATATTAATGTTTGAAAATAAGGTGGGTTACTTCGGAGAAATCAAATCGCCCGTATGGATATCAATCATCAAAGATTATTCTTGCCAACCATCAGCTTTCAAAATCTTTGAATAAAATCAAAAGCATGCATTTTTTTAAAAAAGAAATTTTGCAGCCTCCACAATTTGGTCGCAACTGTGCAGTTGAGAAGAATTTGCACCCCTGGTATCACTCTTACAGCATTCATAATCACTCTCAATCTTCCTGATTTGCAGAAATTACCTGAAGTGCTGGATGTTTACCAACTACAGCAGAACATTAAAACTCTGAGGCAGCAGCAGATCGTTGTGTCAAAGAAGGTGTATCAGCTGATTCTGGACAAACATAGAGCATGCGAGGAAGAAATTAAAAAGTGAGCGAGCTTCCAAGTTTGTTTAGAGAATATAAGTATTTGAGATAACATTTTATTATGATGCCATCACGCTTGTCTGAGACCGAGGAACTTAACAATCATACTGCTGTGTTAAAGAAAAACACGATATAAACATTTGAGAGTCGCCGAATTTCCTCCTATAAATTTTTAATTTTACAGGAGAGTTATGAATATTCTCTCTTAAAATTTTCAGATAATTTAGGTCTGATTGCAAACCAAATTATTTAAAAAAATTAGAGGAAAAGTATTCTTAGATTTTCCTGAAAATTCATGTTTTATCATAGAAAAAGTTTGCAATGTCTAGAGGCTCATATATCGCTCTCCTTAAGCATGGTAGAGTAGTCTTTCCATCAAAATGTCCATTCAGTTAGAATTAAATCCACCTCAAGTTTTTTTTTGTGCATGAAATTTAAAGTTCAAAAAATTCTTTTTACCGTGTTTCAGAATTCAAGTTTTACAGCAAGATTTAAATGATGCACTTGGAGTGTGTAGGACCTCTAGGGGCTGTTTGAAAAATGCCAAAAGACTCTTCACCACGACTAGCCTTGGGATTCTTGCTAATTACAGGAAGCGAACTCTTACTCAAGACCTATTGAAGTCTTTATTGACCATCAAGACACTGGTATGGATTGAAACGAAAAGTCATTATATTTTTGTATACTTTTTTTTATTTTGGCATTCTTTTATTTCAGAGGCAAAGAAAGTTTTTCAAAGTATAGCCCAATTCACACTATCAAACTTTACATCTGACATAATTGAACGAAAAGTTGGATGGAAAGTTAGACGCAAAAAAATTTGATTCAATTACCGTTGCAGTGTGATATCATCATCAGCCTGCGGTTCGTGAAGATACAGCTTCAGCCCATGTCAGTCGGAAAATTTTGTTCAAGTTTCCATTCAATTTTTCATCAAATTGTCCTTTTCTCTCATCAGTATCACAATATCCAACTTTTCATTCAACAAGTTGCATTCAAGAGTTGGATGAAAAGTTTCATAGTTTGAATTGGCTCTAAAAATTTCTCATGTCCTCAGCCTCAAAATATCCTTATTCCGCCAAGACTTCAAAAGTGTTAATAGAGCAAAAAAATGTAAAAATTCAGAGCATTTTTATGTTCCTCTCTCATTTTTGGATTGATTAAAAAAAAACTTTTCCTCGGTGAAAATTCCTCACACCTTCTGGAGGCCAGGGCTCATGCATTGCAGTATTGTTGTGTACTCCTGCTTGATTTTTCATAAAAACATGTGTATCATTTCCCGATTCTTAATATGTTTGCCATTTGCTCATCATTCCAATCAATATCTGAAACTTTCAAGGAAAAATATTCCCAAATTTCCTGAAAGATGCATATTTTAATGGTAAAAATTTGGCAATATTCATATGTTCATACAGCGTTTTTCCCTAGCCTAATAGTATTGGCCAATATTCAAAATGCGTTGCTTTTGTGTCCAAAGAAAAAAAATCTTTCATTCTTAATAGCAGGAGCAGATTGTCTCTACTCTCTATATCTCATTGTACTCTATCTCGCTGCAGTTTATTGATTTTGTTACTCTCGTGTTGTTTTTGTAGCTCATTGTGCTGCTCTTCTACCTTTTTTTTCCAATGTAAAAACACACCATAATAATAACCTTTAATTGGTACTGTTTTCAGTTGAGGACTCAAGAAAGACTAGAAGATCTTCTGAGCCAAGAAGATTTTGCAGGAGCTATTGGTCTGTTGATAAAATGCCAACAAGTCTCATCGGCTTATCAACATTTCACATGTGTTGCTGCCCTAGAAGGAAAATTGAAGGATACGTTGGTTCTAGTAGAAGAACAGTTGGATGTAGCTTTGGCGAAGGTAAACGAAGGATCTAAATCTTACAGTAACTTAATTGACAAGAGCATCTGAAAAGGAATGACAGTGTTGTAGCCAAGTGTTAGGTAAAAGAAATGAAAAGTTTATGGAAGCTCGTTATGTTAAACAGTTCTGAAACTTCTTGGTGTCAAGACACCAGTAATATAATAAAAAATTAGTACTTGAAAGTTTTTGGTGAAGTAAATGGATGAAAGATTTGTTTTGTTTCATATCTCGTGTAATCAAGTTTGAAGGAAAACTGGACAGACTGTTCGACAGAAAAACTAAGGTCTTTCAATGAGGAGGAGCCGTCTATTATGAGTTATGTGGTGTTGATGCCTCCTTTGGATTTCGGGAACATAAATCTGTCTAACATGGGATTCTGTCAGGAGCATGAGCTTTGTTCATAAAACGCAAAAAGTAACTATTTTCGTCAATCTTTCAGGAAAATTTTCTGTAATTCTTCAATGCCATTGCATTTCAAAGCAGTTGTACATATATCACAATGAAGTATAAACCAAAAATCTACAATGATCTCCAAATAATGTTATTCATCTTTGTAAGCTTGCAAATAATTTGGGGTCTAAATTATTTTATGTTTGAAACTGAATTCAAGGTTATGCTAACTTTGACTTTTACTATCGCATCAAGAAAATGAAAGAATGTATGCATTTAAAATTTTATGCTTCAAAATTTTGCTTCACAGATGTGCTGCGATTTTAAACATGATGTGTACTCAAAGTTGCAAGCTGCTTACAGTCAGCTAGGAAAAACCCAGATGGCTATCAATCAGTTGCACATGCATTTCATCTCGACAGTTCACTCCGCAGCTTTCAATGTTGTTCATGCAAGGGTTGGACAAAAGCAACAGTACTCAACGTTGTGTGAGGTACCCAATTTTTACACCTTCTTCTAGTGTGTAGAGCAAGTTTACAAAATTTCAAGGTGATCAACGAATGGCTGATTCTAGGGAGAGAAATTGTCTTTTTCTAGGACCTTAACTCCATATTTATTCCTAGAAATTTAGAGGGCTACAGACAGGGGGTTTAAAAACTCCTAGATGTGTTTTAAATGATTTGAAACTAGAGTCAACTCCTGATCATCTGAACAATGTGTTACCCAAACTGATTTGGCAAATAGACAGGGCCGAATCTCGGAACTGGTGGTCTGCCGGGTGGAACATTTGATAGTGAAAATTCCTAGTAAATTTGATTTTCGTCAAGGAAAAATATGAAAAGTTTTCCTTGCGATTTTGTGTGATTGTTCAGAATGAGGGCAGAAAATTTCAGTAGAAACTGTCATTAGGTTTTCTTTTAAAAGAATATAATATGAGTAGAGTCTTTCAAAGTCACAATCTGAGATATGCTTTTTTGGACTTCAGCCATCTGTATGCGTTTGTTTTATCCTCATGAAAGTGCACTAAACAATAGTCGAATGTTTTTTAATTTCAGAGTTTGCCTGATAATGAATTGCTACCTTGTCTTCGTGAATTGTGTAGAGCCCTGTGGCACATCGTTCTTAGTTATCATAAAGTGGTTGTCTGGCACAGGGAGAACAGTGCTGACCAAAATCCTGCCAGTGGTAAGAATGAACCATTCCTTAAATCTTCGGTTTTTACATCTCCATAATTCTAGAGCTGGGTAGTCACTTGAGCGTTTTTTATGCATTCACAGCACTAACCTTGCACTTTGCTGAGTTTGAGCTGGTTTTTCGAAAGTCTGCAGCTGCAACTGTGCCTCACCACTCAAGTTACATTTTTTCCATGGGTGCTCGTTCCATGCTCAGTGAATACTGGATATAGGGTGGTTATGATAAGTCAGCTGTGATAGATATGCGTTGGTGATGAAGAGTAGCCTTGCTCACTTTTATTTAATTTTTTTTAAAGGCTTTAATTTTTTTTTTTTGGCAGGTAATACTTGTGACATTGTGAAATAAAATCGACAGCATATAACTAAAAAAATTCTCAAATACCTTGCTTTTAGTGCAATTTTTTAGTAATTTTTACATCAGGTATTCTTTGTGAAAATGAAAAAGTTGAGGAGGGATATTTTAGTTTCATATTATGTTCTTATTACAAGTCGACTAGTCAATCTTCATACAGTAGATTTCAAACGATTTCTTTAAATTGTGAAACTATTCTCTTTAAAGAGGCTGTCACTGGATTAAACTTTGTTTTTTTCCCCTCTCTGATCACAAAAATGTGCAGACATTTTAATTATAGAAGTTACTTAACTTTTTTCAGAAGAAGCAGATCTTGAAAAAAGTTTCCATGAAGAGTATGTGAAGCAAAAACTTGAGAATGGATTGTCGAGGCTTTGGACTGATATCCAAAGCAAAGTAACGCCCTTGATTTTTGGTGCTGATCTTGCTAGTTTTAAATTTGACGATTTTCTTCAAGTACTAGCAATAATTCACAGGTTAGTGCACTATCTGTCGAATGTTCTTCCTTTAATTTCCCTTTTTGAAGGGCTATTGCCTAATTGTTTCAATTCTTGACATGTTTTTTTCCGTTATTCTATTAACAATACCGTATGCCGTACTAGATTGACAGTTCATTCATAACATTGAATTGGTATAATGTCTTTCTCAATTTTCACAATCCGACACTCTCTATTTATGCAGATCCAATGCCGATCCTCCTAAGAGGAGCACTCTCTTCTGACTTATTTTTTTTTTTTTTTTTTTTTTTTTTTTTTTTATTCATATTCTCAATCAGAGGAGAAAGAATGGGAAGATGAGAGGAACAATAAAATGGTGAGAGTTTCTTTTGCCTTCTAAAAGTGAAAAGCAAGACTGAAATTTATAATGTTTGAACTTAAAGTAGGTTCTATCCCTCATTTCCCCGATCAATATATGCCTATTATTTTTTATGGACCCTGAAATTTGTTTCAGATTAGTCATAGTGGGTGAGGAATTTTGCGGCAGCGAATCAAGTGAATTGAAAAACTCCGTCCGTACTCAAAGCAGTAATTACTTTAGGAGATATCATGCCAGCCGCTTAGAGGAACTTAAGCTTTTCCTAGAAAATGAAATCTGGACGCCTTGCCCTGTGAAATCAGATTTCACGTTGCTGCAACTTCAGGTGTGAATGCTTTGATGAATTAAATTTTCCTAAAATGATACAGGAAGTTTATCAGATTCTTGTCCCGGACATTTTCATATCTTTGTCATCAAAAACCAAAAAACCATCAAAAATGATTTTTGATACGGACTGTGCAAATTATGTGTTGAGGAGACTTTTTAAAGGTGCTAAACATAATTTTCATGTAGCTTACGAGGGCTATACGAATAATGAATTTTTCAAACGAAGCAAATAGCGAACAGTTTAAGTGAATTATTTACAACTACGATTAGTAATACAAATAATTAAAGTCAATTATTCACAACGACAAATAGTAATACAAATAATTTAAAATGACTTTCTTAAGTGCGAAAATTAGCAAATATTACTGAAACCGACAATTAAGTGTGATTAATTTTTTTAAAAATTTTCCATTCCCTCATACACCTGTACAGGAAACAATGGAATGCTGTGCAGCCTAGGCTGTTAAAAATGTGCGTAAAGATCCCTGGATGCTGGCTTGACTGTTCCTGCAGTTATGTATGCATTCCCAGGATTTAAAGTTAATTACGAGGAGCAGTCAAGTTAGTATCTAAGGATCACTAGGCACATTTTAGTATTTTATTTTTTTTTCAGTGTCGAAAATGTATTCATGAATATTTATGACAGCGCAAATATTTGGAAATGTTGAATAGTGCACGAGTCAACCGAATCAGATATTTGCGATTTCCAAATATTCGCACAGACCTATGATTTGCCAATAAAAATTCTGCTCAGTTGATTGTGTACAATAGCTCCATTAAGTCGGTTTTGCCCCATTTTTTAGGAATTCAAGTCATTAAGACTTAGTATCCAAACAGCTGCTGGAAGAGTTCGAGGAAGACAAGCGAGTAGCGGAAACATTATGGACAATAGTTTTACGAGTGGGACAAATTACTTCACCCACTTCTCTGAAAGTGGTTCCCCGTTCGACAGTGCCTTAGATACTTCTGTTCTAGAGGAAGACATTCTAGATAATGAGACTGTAAGTTTCGCCGTTGTTAGTTCGAACCGAGAATAGTTTTTTATGATATGAGTTATTGGCAAAGAAGCTGCTAAAATACCTTTCTCTATTGTAAGGTTTCAACCATCTGCTCCTAACTTTGATCCTAATTTTGTTTTTCTTTCAAGAGTAATTTCTAACATTGTTGTACAAACTACAACTACTACTTTTCTTGTACAACTACTGTCATGATAAGATTCAACTTCAGCAGATTGAAAGTAATTTCTGTGTGAAAGATTTATCAATATGACATGAAATTAAACATGTTTCAAACGACTATATTTTTAGCAGCAAAAATAACTGTTATGAACAGGAAAAATTCAATATGAACTCATAACTATCACATGTCGCATAGCAGCTACATCACGATATCATGGCTTGCTTGAAGTTTGTGCAGAATGAAAAAAAATGAAGTTTTGAGAGAACGGGCTCAGAAGCATCTAAAAGGAAAATTTCATTAAAAGAAGCCTCCGTCCTTTGTCAAATTACATCTAATCATCCAAAAGACTCCTAGAAATCATTTGAATGATTAAAATTGACAGATTTTATTTCAATTACGTAGAAAGGGTATTTTTCATTTTCATGTTAGGCAAGTATTAGGCAAAACAGCTGTAACTACCAACTTCTGCATGCTTTTGTGGTTGCGTTTTGGACACATAACCAACACATTTTCAGGTTAGAAATCGGCAGAAGAGGGAGGCACTTTATTTGAAAACACTTCAGTGGTTCTCTGGAGGAAAAATGTCACTCACTGCTGTTTCGTCTGAAGCTACTTCATTTTTTATGCACTTTCGGCTTTCACATATGTCTCGTTTTCATGAAAATAAGATGAAATTTGCTGATTTAATTATTTCAGTGATTTCATCTAAAAGAGATTAGACGAATTTCGGAGGAAACTTGATTTCACAAATTTAGCACTTACTCTTCCCTATCACAGCAGTATATATCAATAACTAGTCCAGACCGGTTTTGGGTCACCTTCCATCATTGTTCGGCTGGTTTTATCACTGATAAAGGGCTTCCGGAAAATGGTCTGGAAAAGTTGTTCATGTAACTGAAAACTTCGAGTTCAAATTTAATTTCTTCCATTCATTATGAAAATCTCCTGAACTTTTGACGGAACAAAACCTCTTTGAGTTATGTATTCTTAGTTCCCTTTTTACTAATATATTGTCAGATTTCTCAATCATTTCTGTCTTTTTGTGGATATAGGAAGGATCATCCAATTACTACAGCGATGATAGTGAGGATGAGTCCACACATACTAATACCAAAAAGACTCACAACCACATCAGGTACTTATATATTTTTTATATTTACTTACTTTTATTCATTCATAGCTTTATTATTTTTTTTCAACTTATTGCAGAGGGAAATGCATCTTAATAGCAAGTATGAAGTAAGAAAGAAATATACATTCAATAGTAGTCAATTAATGGTACCATGTATGGATGGAATAAAATAAAATAAATGAAAGGATAATTATCTGCACCTTCAGACAACCGTTCAGAAGTAATGGAAGAGTTAAAAACGAGACTTTTCTGGAGGGGGTAATGGTGGGACACAGATTAGATTAAGTTCTTATGAAGCAAAGGACTACACTTACAACAGCAAAGAATTGGGCGCTGGCTAAATTTTGATATTATATGTTATGATGTACCTTATGGTGTTCAGCTTTTAACCTCAAACCTGCAATGTGCCAATCTCGAAAAAAGAAGGGTTGAAAAGTGAATTTTCCGGCATTTTTACATGCAATATCCAATAGAAATGTTCCACCATCTGATAGGTGATCAAGGAGAAATATCGGGATGCTAAGACATACAGAAAGGACCAAATACCTTTGAATGATAACAGCATACAGCATGCACACACACATAGTAACAGTCCCGCGCCCGCATTAGGAAACGCAGGCAAGAAGGTTGTGAACTTCACTTTTCAGCCCTACTTTTCTGGACATTGGCACTTTAAAAATTCGATTTTAAAAACTCACTGTGCTCAAGAGGTTGTAAGAAACATTATATTAAAAAATATCAAAATTCAGCCCATATTATTTCCTTTACACCATTAAAGGTTTCTTATATCTGCCAATTTTCTACTTTATTTTCTTGCAGGTATCCACCAATTTTACCCCTTCAATGTCCTGATTTCTGACAATTTTCACTTTTAACTTTGATCGAAACCTCTTTTTCAAATATGATCATCAATACTAATTAAAAGTGAAGAAGAAACCCATTAACTTTTAAGGAACAAGAAATATAATTTGCCATCAGTAAATGGTTTGAAGCTATTAGTTTCAAGTTATTAGTAAATATTCAAAAAATAAAGAATCATTCTTCCATTGCATTTTCATTCACATCGTTTCATCATAATTTATGTCCAGTAAATCAGTGTTCAAAAATCACTCCTTCTAGGGCATAATTTTATTTGTACTCAGTGGGTAAAAAATCTGGCATCAAATTAATGTTCATTCATTTACATATCCATTCTCTTTTAACAGGAACCATTCGAGTCCTCTAATAACTAACACAACTCTAACGGTTTTACGACTGTGTGGACGATACCTTCAGATGAGTCGCCTTCTGCAATCAGTGGCGCCAGATGCCATCCACTGTTTAGGACAACTGTTTGAATACTATCTGTACGCAGTGTTTTCATTCTTTACAGCTGACCCACCAGTAAGTATTAGTTGAGACCACACATTCATCCTGCAGGGTGATCATTTTCTTGTCTTATCTATTGAACCTGGTAGACGCAAGGTTAGTCTATATGAGAGCATTTCCGTGTGATTCAGAACTGATGATCTCAATACATCTGCTTAGTTATAGATCTACCTATAGATACAGATCTCTTGGCCCTGAGACGGGGACATTATGTTAAAATTTGTGTTGCCAGAGGGTACTCGAACTCTCCGTCTTACGGATTGGTCATGATCAATTGTTGACGCCTCTGTCAAATAGCCTCTGTCTGTAATAGTTGATAAGATGAAGCAGAGTCAAATGCAATAGTGCGTTTGTTGCATTCCAAGTTCAAAATGGGAGCAAGGGAAACTGAGGACAGGGAGACCATCTCAAAAGCAAGTGTAGAATTGACTGCTGTATCATGTAATTACCTGTACAATATATGCTGTGCTTTTGCTGTATCTGATGCGTTCCAGATCTCTTCCAGCTTTAAGTGTGCACTAAAGTTGTCAGGAAAGGCTTAAAAATGTATTTAGCCCACTGCTAATTTAGTATTTTAACGCAGATGTATCATTCCTTTTATTTTATGTCCAACAGACAGGATCAGTAGAAAATGTCACGTCTGTAAAACTGCAAGCTGTCATCAAAAGGATTCAGGAAAATTTTCTCCAGAGTGATGCAAGTGGTAATGGAACGCAGGTGAGGAAAAAATGCTCATGTATACTAATTGGATTACATTTTGCAATAAGGAACCACTATTTCTGGCCTACTTTAGAAACAACGCACATGCCATTGTTTTCCCTTTGCAGATATGTAGTTTTATGGGAGAGGCAGTAATAGTGGTTCCTTATTGCAAAATGTAATCCAATTATTTGTATGTTCACCTTTTAAGTACGTTTATATGTATTGGAAGTTTCTAGGAAATTATTTCCAGACCAAATACTCCACATTTTATAATCAGAAAATTACACCATAAAGGTAAATAATCGCAATTCAAGAAAATATTTGTTCTTCAAATTTTAATGCACGCCTGTAAGATTTTTTAAATTTCTGCCTTCTTCTGTTATCTGCAGGTATTTTACTTTGCGCCAGTCGAGTGAGAATTTTTTTCTTTTAATATTTAAATCCTCTGTAGAGAAGGGTATCCAAAAATTACTCAAATCTATCATCGCTATCTTTGCTCCTTGAAGTCCTCTGCACTTAGAAGATAGTTCCATTGCATGAGCGGAATATTTGGTGTTCCTTATAAACCGGACTATTCAGTTTGTCAAAGTGAAATTTTGGTTCGTAAGATCATATGGGATCATATGCTTAGTTCATTAGATTGATCTCTTTGATTGAACCGAACTGTTGAAAGAGGTTAGCTGTGAATAGAACGTTTGATTGTATAAGCCGTAATTTTGTTGTGATTGTCAAAATAGTCCAATCGGTATGGAACACGGATCCTCCTGCTTATACGATCGAACTTTTTTTTTTTTTTTCAGTACAAGATATATAGGATGTTTGTGATTAGTGTTTTTGGTTTGAATGATGAATTTTACAGGGTGTCTGTGACATGACTAGTTACATTACTTCATTTAACTCAAAGCATCAAAAGTAATGAATAACCTTCTTGAGATTTAGGAGCTTTATCTCTAAATCTACCAAAACAACTAAATGTACTAAAACTAGATAGAATAATTCTACATTTTTGCCCACCAAATGTTCCAAATCATGACAATATTTCTCATTTCAGGTAAACAAACCGGTCATTTCACCAGTCGTTGATCTACAGAATGCTGAAACTCTGTATGGCCTGAATGAAAGAGTAGTCGCAGTAGAATCATTAGTGTTTTTAGCCGAGCAGTATGATGCGCTACGGCCATATTTGGAACAGCTGATACCTGCTGAGGATCCAACCGTTCATGTCTTAAATCAATTATATTCTCAGGTGAGTAGAGAATAGCCAAATTTTGGTAATTTAGGTCCAGTAGTGTAGTGCAGGTCTATTAGTCCAGTTATAGTAGTGCAAGGTTCACCCTGTTCACAAAAGAATCAGAGCCAAAAAAGTAGAAAAATCTTCTTGATGTTTTCACTTTTCTGGTTTTGTTTTCTCTTAATCTCTCTGTTAATTTTTGACAAGCATAAAATAAATAAAAGTACTCGCATTTTGGCCAAACTGTGTCATCTTGAATTTTTCAATATCAATGAGCTTTGTAAAAACACGAAACTTCAAAACTTTTCTTATTGATGGATATCCCATTTCAAGGAACAACAATTGAACTTAGCAGTCCAAGGTGATTACTTTACCCAAGTGGTCAACTGAACTTTTTTTGTGTCATAAATCTATGAATTTACTTAGTTCATTGAATTATTCTGTCATGCTTAATTCATCTTTTGATTTTTTCTGTGTCCATTAGACTGTAGCATCAGCTGTTGATGTGCGTAGACCAGTATATTCATGTGTAGCTTGGAGAGCTGTCGATACACAACATATTTTGAGCTTGATGTCAAAAACTAATTGGGAAATAAAAGACGTTATGAGTCAACATAGTCCCTATGTTGATGTCCTTGTTAGGGTAAGTAGAACGACTAATTAATGTCCATGCTTTTATTCTTCTCAGCTTGTAATGAAAAAAATTTCTAATCTTGTTACTGTGACCATATCTATGTCATGGGATTTAAATTGTTGTTGTCAATTTTGCTAAGACCAACTACTGCTGCAGTGCCCAATTATATTTGTCTCAAGGGCTCTGTGACAAGTATTTTTACTGACGTTTTGGTAATCTGGAAAGTTTTATTGGCTCATTAATTTATTATGAGTCAATTGTTAAAGAGAACTGTAAATGATTGTCACACATCCTTCATTTAAATTGCAATAACTTGGCCAATTTTCGTTCAAATCAGCTGATTTTGATAGGTACTTCTGGCCCCAATCAATTTCTTTCAACCCTTTTTTTTTTCTAATGAAACCAAAACCAACATGATGGGTTGCTTATTTTTTCAATTACAACAACAGTTAAGATATTTTGGAACTCCTGATGCTTATTAGCACGTCGACTCTAGTGAACAAGGTCCTTTTAATCAATAATCATGTATTCTTATTAAAGTCTTCCTAATTCCGCTTTAGACTGGATCAATGTTTTATTCACTTTTCCTCAACTTTTGCAGTTGATTGTCTTTTTTTGGAAATGTCTCAAGGAAATAGAATAAATTGTGAAGGAAAATCTTCAAGACTTTACTTTTGTTTTTTTTTTTTATTGAAAAAGTCGTGAGTTGGCCACAAGAAATTTAATTCTTTGAAAAAAGTATCTTAAATAGCTTTTTTTAATTTGGTATTTTATATTTTATGAAACACATCACCCTGATCAGTATAATAGGCCAATAAAAATTTAGCAACGGTAATATACTCCGTGTTGTATTGTGGATAAATGAATTGTCTTTTATAAAATAAAGGTATACAACGTTGCTACACTTTTTAACAATTTCATAAATAATAACTAGACACAACAGAATATAACAAAATAAGATAGAATGGAACTCTATCAGAAGGAAAAGATAAAATAACATTCATAATAAATAATATAAAATCTTGTGAGAAGGATATGAAAATATACCAAAGAACAAAATTACCTAACACTTGAACAGTTGGAAAATTTACAGCCTGTTGGACTCTCACTTGAAACCACAAATCGTTGTGAAATTTTTGGCACTGCTCTTCCACAGTTTTTTTTGGGGCTATGTGATGGTTTTTTATGTATTATTTATGTGCCTTTATGTTTTTTTTAGGAATTTCAAATATTTGCAATGAAGCTAGATGCTCTCAATACTCACCTTAACATTCCTCAGGCAGTGCACAATGTGATCTGGGAGTGCATCTCTTTCATTATCGCCAGCATCTTGGTCGAAGGGTGTGTAGGGTTTTTACCTCTTGAACATTTATCTGCGTTTAGGAAAACCTACAGAACACAAATTTTCTGAACATTAAAATTTCTAAAATTTGTAGATCACATCATCGTATACTAAGAACAATCCATCCAACCACCTCTGGTGACTGTCTCATATTTATCAGACCGTAAATTATTGAAGCGGTGGGTTGTCAGAATCTCTGTTGCTAATTTCTGTCACAGGGAAGAATCTAATGGATGATTTTTGGTATTTTTCTGTAGAAGATTGTGAAAATATAAAGAATATTCCATAAAAATTTCTGTGGAACGGATGCACCCACTTTCTTTACAGTGAGTGAAATATTTCCAGAGATTTTGGAACATAGTAACTGAAAAGTGCCCTTCTTGCAACCAGTTTCAAAAGTCTAGCGGTATTTCCTTTTTATTATTTATTGAGGACTTGAACCTCTTCGGTGAAAGAAGCGCAAGTTTTATGAAATTTCACTCTCAGTGCATCAGTTATCAGATCATCCAGCATTCTTTCTGAGGATATTTTAACTTGCAATTTCTGCCTTATTTTTTCATGTCTTTTGTTTTGACTTTCCCAGATTCTCAAGTTCCAAAAGATGCTCCAATGGTGGTAGAGCCTTGATGCAGCTTGATCTGACACAGTTGGTCTCAAAACTGGAAGCTATGTCTTCGCTAAAACCTGTCCCTCATAAAGAATTTGTCGAAACGTATGTGAAGGCCTATTATTTATCAGAACCAACTTTAGAAACATGGGTCAAGGACCATACTGTAAGTAACTACAAATCTTTTAATAAAATTTCTTTTCCAAAATGGCCTTACCGCAAAATGAGAACCTTTACTAAACCCTTAGTAAAATGTTTTTTTACTTTACACAATGATCAATGGAAATTTTTTAAATCGTTCTCAAAATGGTGATTACAAGTAGCGTTCAGTGTTCCATTTATCTCAAGAAGATTCTAATTATTCTAATGAGTGATAACTTTGAATTTATGCATCAATACACGTTAATATCTTGGTTCAGAGTCGCTTTCAATATATTTCATCGTACTAATTGTTGTCCAAGCAAAATTTGATGAGAAAATATGTATCATACTGCTTACATTTACAGCTTGTCTAGGCAGTCATGATCGACCTTAGAAGTACCAAAAATTGCCAAGAAAACTATATAACTTTATAAATTATATCTTTCAAAAGAAAAATTACTAGGAATCTTATGGAGAGTGCTTGAAAATTATTTGCTCGAAAAGTGCTTATTTATTTTTGTGGCTGCACAATTCATGTGCCCTGCAATGACATTGGCAATTTTGGAACTCATTTCTTCCACTAAATCTGGCATCCATTTTTTCCTAAACGTTTAGAGCCCTTACTTAAAATTTCAAGAACTGTCGTAACTCAATTTATCCAAGAAAGATGGTTTTGATTCTTCAGTCACCGGTAGATATACATACCGTATACGCCCGCAGACAACCTGCTTCCTAGATGTTGAGAGGGTAAAAACCAAAAAAATTCTCGTATAATCTCCACGCGCCCACGGTGGTTTGTTTTGCTCGCCTCATCAAGTAGTACGAGTACATGATAGGTATGCAATTTCCATGAGTTTCACAGATAACTCACACCCTGATTTTTGAATGTTGAAATCGGGAAAAAAGGTGCAAGTTATCTGAGGGCGTATATGGTATCTTCCTAGGTATTTTAAATGTGTAAAATGCTATTAGTTATAAGAGGCTAATTTCTAACCAATTTTGTCCATTTTAGGAATACTCACCAAAGCAGCTCATAGCTCTTGTCAGTTGTGTATGTGCTGGCAACAAGAAGAACAAGCAGCGTCTCATAAATTGTATCGAGGAAATGGATAGATGATATATGCTCCCCTTTTTGCAGTTTGATTCAGATGAACCAAAACCAAGTTAAGAGCGGTAGAGTTTCCGCTAAAGAGTTTCTGTCGAGTGAATAAAACTAAGAACCAGATTTAAAGTCAAATCATGGTATCTAAGACCGCTTGAAATGAATAATATTGTAATAAATTTTTCCATTTTTCTATGAGTCACATACCCTCTAGACTTTAAATCGGAAACTTAACAGCTCCCAAAAGGAAATTCTTTGAAATCTTTAAAGAATGACATTGATTTGTTCTTCTTTAAAAAAAATAAACTGCAGGCGGAGATTTTAAAAATAACAAACAAGAAAAAAACAAGATACGTGGTTTGGGAGTTTCATCGTCGACATGCAGTATGTACACAACCTTGCACAATAATGAGTAACTCACACTTTAAAGAGAAACTGGAAAGGTCTTATGAAATGTTGCTGGGACCGTAATCCCTACTCTTCCGGCCTGAAAAAGGAAGAAAAATGCAAATATGTATAAGCATTCTTCATTCTCTCGTAATATGCCCACTAAATCTTAAGTAGGTAATGGTAGGGGTTGAAGGCTTTGCTCATTTAGACTTTGTCAAAAAAAAGCCCATTCAATGCCTTTTATCCTTAGTCTTTTTAAAAGTTTTGCCTGTCCCAGATTACCTCTCAATTTTTGTTGTATGTAATTCCCTATTTTGGGCTCACAGCGAAAGAAGAAAAGTAATCTGAAACGAGTTACACCTATTTTAACAGAAGCATACAAAGTCATATCAAGTATGAATTGACAAAAATTGGTTTGAAGTTTGATTCCTTTGCAAGATTTAATGTAATAGCCAAAATTTATCGACTGTTTCCAAGTTGAAGGTATATTTTCTCGATTAAATTTTTAACGAGAGACATTGAATTTTAAACCGTTCCAAACTCAGTTCTTTCTAAAATGCGACCTGGTGCGTCTTTGTCAAACTGGTTCCAAAGCAGCATGAGCTTTGAGCTAAGTATGAAGTACCACCCATTCTCACGTACAGATGTTGAAACCTAGTATAGCTTGCATTGTTATTTCTGTATAGTTTTTATATTTTTTTTGGATATTGATGTGTTATGATCCTATAAAAATGCCAAGGCTGTGATATATTTTTTTTTTTCTAAGTAATCATATAACTGCTTTTTCTGTTAAACATTATAACAATAAATCTAACCTTTATTATGTATTGATGCATTCTGAAATTCCTTTGAAACCTCCGATAATTAAATAAAATTTTACAGCATATTGTGTACTTAAATTGCCCAAGGCCCTCTTTTCAAAAAGGACCATTTTAATTTGGTTTTGAACTTGAACTGTCAAATGTCAGAGAAATGGGCTGAGAAGCCTTAAGCAAGTAAACTTTTTCAGCCCTGCAACAAATTCTTGGATTTTTCCTTTTCTGTTTGGTTAACAGGATTTCACATTTCCCTGTAATGTATCAATTTTTTGAAGAATTTCAGTGTTCTCTGTAAATTCTGAATGATGCAAAATCAACCAGTTAAAGTGTGGTACTGGAAATTTTATCCAAATTTTTTTAGAACAATACCTAAAGGCAAGGCTGGATTAAGGGGGTGGCCACATGGGCCGCGGCCCATGGCGGCAAAATTAGGGGGCGGCAAATTTTGCAATTTTTTTAAATGCAGGTACAAAAAAATCGGATTCAGAATAAAATTACAAACAAAAAAAAGGTGAAAAAATCTCTCATTTCCTGAGAGTTCATTAATTTCCAATTTTGTCGTATTTCGGTGATACTAAAGACTGCGCACCCTTAATTAGTAGAGTTAAGAGAGAAACCAAACACGTAATTTGGCCTAGAGCGGCGCGGCGCAAAGAGAAATGATGACGAGGACTTGAGATGAAAAGGAGAAGCCCTCGACGCGGCGGTCGGCATGTAACACATATTAGCGCCTACGAGACTGCATGAATACTTCACACATTGCGTCAAACACAGTGCGGTCAACAGCGGGCGGCGCGGCGTGAAACGCACAGTGCCTACAAGACTACATGAATACTTCACGCATTGCGCCAAACACAGTGTGGTCAGCGCGGCACGGCGGCGGAAGTTAACATTATTAAACCGCATTTATGTTTGTTCTTTCTTAATTTTTTAGTTCATTTTTTACAAATGAAAGGCCTTGTCCCCACAAAGATAGGTTTACGGAACTGAACTTTCGCGCGAAGTCCCGTGAACTTTTGCTAGTGATGTTGACAGGGCTTACGCAAAAAATGTGTCCTACACGAGTGAACGCGTCTTCTGCACCCTTCTCCCTCCGGCACGTTCACTTGATGGTTTTTATTGATGTTTCAAAATGAAGAGGAAGAGGGCGGCAAAATACAGGCGGCCCATGGGTGGCCCGTGGCCCCGACCCATACGCAGGCCCGCCACAAGGGGGGGGGGGTACTGGGTCCTTGGTACCGGGGCCCGGGCCCTGGAGGGGCCCGTGACGCAGGTGACAAACCACTACGAATTCATGTGTAACCCTTGTCTCGTAAGGAAAAGTGAAAAAATTACCCTAAAAATTCCGCAAAAGGTGAATAAAGTTTCAAAAGCACACTAGGGCACTATAAAATTTGTCTTACTTTTTTAGAGATTTCTATCTATTTTCAAGATTTTGAGTAGATATATATAGAATGATATTTTTAGTAACTGCGTTTCATTTTCTTCCGTTGTCGGATGCTAAGAGCCTCCTGTCTGGGCATCCTCGACTTCAATGGCTCAACTCCCTTGCCATAGACGTACGAAAGGGGAGTCCTGAGGGGCCCGGCTCCCCCTAGAATTGAAAAGTATCATCTGCCCCCCTCAAAAAAAAAATTATAGATGTTTTGAATGCAACAATTCGAAAGTATTTGGTGCTGAGAGTAAAAAAAAAGGCGTAAATATTCTGCAGAAATTGATGGAAAATCTCCATCATAAGAGCTTCATAATGCGTCCAAATAGATTTAAAATTTCAAAAATTTCCCGAGGGGGAGGGAAGCTCCCCGGACTCCCCTCTGCGCTAGGGGCCCGGGCCAGAAAACTGGTACCAGGGCCCGAGATGAGATGTGGCGGGCCTGCGTGAACGCAGAAGAAAAACGGGGTAAAAAAAAAAAAACACTGATGGTGTGATCAATTTTCAAGGACAATTCTGTAATTTCTCCTACGATTTTAAATAGATTACTTAAAACGCGTAATATCGAAAATCTAAGCTCAGATTCGGATTCCTCGTGAAATTGATGCGATTTCATGCATCAAATTTTAGAATAGCGTGCAGGAAAGAGGTTTAATGACGTAAAAAAACACTAATGTGTGATCAATTTTCAAGGACAATTCTGTAATTCATCCTACGATTTTAAATAGATTAAAACGCGTAATATCCAAATTTTAAGCTCAGATTCGGATTCCTCGTGAAAAATTGATGAGATTTCATGTATCTTATGTTAAAATAGCGTGAAGGAAAAAGGTTTAACGACGCGTATAGATTCTGTCGTACTTCCCCTTTGAACTACGCCGCCGCCTCACAGTGGGGAAAACGACCAATCTAGCCGCTCAAAAGTCGTAATTTCAAGTGTTTGGTAGAAAGCTACCAGAGGCTGCATTTCATTCTCAGATATCCACTGACACCAAATCAGTGATTAAATTCACCAGAGTCTTGTTTGTTATCAAAAAATTGATGATGAACCGTGAGCGTAAACAGGTAAGACTGGAAGCCCAGATGGAAGACGCACCAAATGCGTTCCGTACTGATGGTGTTCACGCAACAGGTTATGCAATTGATGGTTTTCCAGCATAGTAGAGCCCCTGAGAAGTAAATCAAATCATTTATTTCATTTCCTTATCATTTTTTCTTATAGTTTCTATTTCTTTAACACCTGCTCTGAAAAATCTGTGTTTTTGAACTTCAGAGGATTGGAATGTATCAAATATCGGCGAATTGCAATATCAGACTTGTACTCGGTGACGCAGAATTTCATGTAGTTTCATAATCTGTAGAGATATCTTGCGGTTTTTTGCGGTTCAGAGAGATAAACGAAGATTAATGGCCCGGCGTCGAGGCGTTTTTGATGCACTAGGCGCGTTGCACATTGGTTCCAGAGCCAGATCTAGGCGGCATTAATTAGAGTATCACCTTTGTTGGCATGCAATACATGTTTTAATATGTTTTTTGGGTCGCTGATCACGAATCTGAAGTCAGTTTTACTCCATCGTTAACTAAAACATGGTAAATTTGCGAAAAATAGCAAATTCACGCTCAAATACCGGAATAATTATTTGACAATTTGGCTTGGAGCTTGAGCTATAATAAATGTGACTAATTTAATGATTAATCATCCAAAACGACCAACGATTTTACTATTCTTCATTTTTGGATGGTTATTTGAGAAGGGAGGGAGGGGGGTTGCCACGTTGAATAACTGAACGAAGTATACCTGCATGCAATTAACACGATCTGTTTTCGGAATCTACTTCCATAATTTTGAGGTATAAGAAATGGCAGGATGAAAATAAAGTAAAAAGCGTCCTAATAATACTATTGGACAGGGAGAAAAGGCATTGAACGTGTCGGACACTGGTCCGTTGTTTTTTTAAATTAAAGAGGTTGTAATGTATTTTTTTTTCTTCTTCTTCTTTTTTTGAAGTACCTATGAATAATCAAGAAGAGCAAGAGTCAGTTTTCGTCCGAAATTCAAGAAATATATTCAAATTCAAAATTCATGTATATTAAAATGTACAACAACTAAATCTCATATAAATTTGATGAATAATTAACATCATGAACACATTTAGCAATCAAAATAAGAGTCACAAAAAATTACATTGAAAGAAAAATTTCACTGGCTACGAGAGGAGGTGAATATTCTTGCGGGTAATTATCACATTTTATAGATTCAGACAATGGTATGCAAAAAAAGTAGGTAAAAGTCGCAGCTTTTGTGATTTAGTCGCAGCTTTGTTGCATTTATATTTTTTTCTTTTATTCCTTTTCATTGTTATAATTATTGTTTAAGTTATTCTTAAATTATTCTTATTTGTTGTTTATTGTTATTTGTTGTTTATAAAATTATTTAGTTATAATGCTATAATTTCTATCTTTTCTTTCTTTTTTCTCCATTAATTTTTCGATTCTTCTTTATTTCTTTTTTCCTCTTCTTTTCTCATGCTGTTTCAGTGTTTGATTTCATTGTCTTTTCACAATTCAAAAAGTATCTTAGTATTAAAAAAACGCCTGTATCGATGAAAATAAATGTTATTGTCTTGTAAACTGAATAGATCTACTAATTTTTAATTTCACATTTTCACTGTACGTAACATTCAATTTTTCAGTGTACAATGCCAATAAGTGATGTTATAATTGATTAGATTGTTTTGAAAGAAGTGTAGCGCAACGCAGAAAATCAGATAATTAAGAAAATTCACGTAAAGTGAACCAAAAGTAGGTGTAAAAAAATGGTCCACCAAGCTCTTTGGATTGGGCCATTGTGCGGCGAAAATATAGCCCAAGGGGGGTTGACAAAATATTTTCTTGCCTCAATTTGGGTCCCCCTATCCTTTGGCTACATGTTTAACCCAAGAAACACGAATAAAAATCAAGAGCGTTGACACAGGGACTTTTGAGCGGCTAGATTGGCGTTTTTCCCCACTGTGCGCCTGTCGCCCGAGTGAAACCGAACGGGGGAGGCGCCACTTTTTTTTTTTTTTTTTTTTTTTTTTTTTCAATTTTTTTTTTTTTTTTTTTTTTTTTTTCTGTTGTTTTATGGCTTTGTGTCTAAGCACCTGCAGCCAACTTTAGACTAGTGTGATAGTTTAGAGAGAAGGTTACAGGTGGCTAGTTACCGACTTTAGAGGTGTGAAAAAGAAAAAACTAAAAACATGGAAAAAGGTGAGAGGTTGATAAAAAAGAGGAGTTGAGTAGGGAGAGGGTGAGAACCCTTCACCATTTTCACGCTCTGATACCCGGCAGAGCGACTTCCTATGACCAGAGACTGGGTAATGGAAAACAAACAAAGTGAACATATACGGTGGGGATTGAATGTGTTAGAGAGAATGATTTGTTTGGACATCAGGTAGATTGCATAAAACAAAGGGTAAGACGGTTGGTGGGAGTGAAAAAAAAGTATAGGGAGATTATTAGTGTAAGAATGAAGATTTGGTAGATTAGAGGTGGATGTCATTTTTATCTAGAAAAAGGGCTATGGATTTAAGGGTATTGAGGTCGCCGACCGAAAGAAGATATAGGGTTGAATAGGGTGGGAAGATTTCAAATTTATTTATAAGTTCAGAAAAAAGGGTATTTCTATTTTTAAGTTTATCACATTGGAAAAGGATATGTTCTAGGTTTCCAATGGAACGAGGCGCCACTTTAAAGCGTTCGGTTTCGTCGCGAGGAATTCCTCACAATAAATTCTTATTCTTCCTCCTCCGCTGACCTACTGAGCACTACCCATGTTGCCACGTTGCATTCATATGCTCCAATCAGTATGTCTAACGTTACGTCTCTTTCCTTCACGCTATGCTCGGGTATGATACATGAAATCGCATCGATTTTTTACGAGGAATCCGAATCTGAGCTTCGATTTTGGGTATCACGCCTTTTAAATCAAAATTCAACAAATTCAAAATTCGAAAATCCGAAATGACTAAAGTGGCTTAAAATGCTATCTCGGCTCCTGTTCGATGGATTTTTCTGAAATTCGGTGTCAGAGGGTACTTTTCGACGGGAAACTCGAATGTTTAGTCAATTTTTTAAAATTCTCAAATCCAAGATGGCGGACGTAGCCTAAAATGCTATGTCGGCTCCTGTTCGATGGATTTTACTGAAACTCGGTGTCTGAGGGTATTTTTCGACGGGAAACTCGAATTTTTAGTCAATTTTTGAAAATTAACACAAAAACACGCCAGGGCACTATAAAATTTTTCTTACTTTTTAGAGATTTCTTTCCATTTTCAAGATTTTGAGTATGATATTTTCAGTAGGTACCTAGGTAACTGCGTTTCATTTTCTTCCGTTGTCGGATGCTAAGAGCCTCCTGTCTGGGCATCCTCGACTTCAATGGCTCAACTCCCTTGCTATAGACGTACGAAAGGGGAGTCCAGGGGGGCCCGGCTCCCCCTAGAATAGAAAACTATCATCTGCCCCCCTCAAAAAAAATTTTATAGATGTTTTGAATGCAACAATTCGAAAGTATTTGGTGCTGAAAGTAAAAAAAGGCGTAATTGTTCTACAGAAATTGATGGAAAATCTCCATCATAAAAGCTTCAAAACGTCCAAATAGATTTAAAATTTCCAAAATTTCCCGGGGGAGGCCCCCCGGACCCCCCTCTGCGCTAGGGACCCGGGCCAGAAAACTGGTACCAGGGCCCGAGATGGGATGTGGCGGACCTGGGCATGCGACATAATTGAATCAGTGAGAATGAAAACACACCAACTCGGAGACTCGAAAATGCTCAATTTTCGTTACAGACAATCAATTTTAATAAAGACCCTTGAAGCTAAAGCATCTGTTCAAACTCGGACCTTTGAAGTGTCCTTAAGTACTTGTCTTATGTTGACACCAAAAATCTTTTTCTCAGAGTAAATTTTACATTTTTACTGTGCAGTTTTGTGTGCGTCTTGATTATTTTCATTTTTTCGAGTTGTGTTTTCGTTCTCACTGATTCAATTATGTCCTTGTTGAATTGACAATATTAGTTTCAGTTTTCAATAGCTCCTAAAAAGCTATTTGAACATTCGCTCTGGAAAATCCTTTTTGGCCATTTTTTTAAGCGTAGGTTAAATTCTACTCTTTGGGAATTTTACTTTAAAAGCTTTTTTATAAAAAAACGCTTGCTACTTTTTTTAAAAAAATTTACAATATTTTTTTTCAAACATTAGCATGGAGGATGACAGCAAATATTATATTGAGAGTACTTCGCAAAAACTCTTTTACTCTAATTTTACCCTATGTACCTACATACGTTTTTCAAAAAAAAAAAAAAAAAAAAAAAAAAAAAATACCCAAACCCAACAGTTTTAGTTTTTTAAGAGTTACTTAGGAATTTAATTAAAATTAACGAGCCCTTCAAACATTTTTTCAAAAGTTGTTCTCTTTGAGTCTCATTGAAAGCAATTTCTACTCAAATATTTTCCATCAATAAGAGTCAATGATTGTAACATCCATTATTTTTGATCATTCTGCAAGCAAGTGAAGGAAGTTCTCGTCGCACTAGCCGAAGCGGAAAATTTTCTAGAAAATTCCAGTCTACATACCTAGAACGGTCTTCTCCGTTTTCTAGAACGCCATATCGTAGGTCTTCCCCTCTCTCCTCTCAAGACGTGCCCCTCCCTTCATGACATTCCTGTCAACCCGCTGAATTTTCTGGAATTAACGGTTTTTCCCACGCTGAAAGGTCCAATCGAAAGTCCAAAGGTCATAATTAAGTGCTGCGTTTTAAGTCGCATCTCCTCCCCCCCCCCCCCCNCTACAAACTTATTTTGTCAAGATTTCTCAGTTCTTACGTTCCGAAACGATTACAGTTTTACGTCAATGAATGTAAAACGCAATTGAACGTAATTCGGTGTTGCGGTTTTTTCCTCCAAACCGTATTTAGCCTTGATTTGACGGCCATGTCGCGCGTACAATTAGACGCCAGCGCCTGTGAGTCAGAGAAATTGCTTGTTGTCAAGTTTCACCTATACCGTAAATTTAGAACACCTTGAGCTTTGCTGAAGATACTGATTTTTATTTCATTACCAAATTTTTTTGGGATAATTTTGTATTACTTCCAAAAAATTTCATCGATTTTGCTCATCCGTAGACCTGCATTGGACTGTCAGTTGTATTGATTTTCTTGTAACTTGGCAACAGCGATGAGCGATGACGTCAAGAAAGCCGCCCCACCACATCCCTCTTTGTCCACTGTCTTCTGAATTTCCGTGCATCCGCCATTCCGCTCCGCCATTTTGTTCGCGTATGGTCGCTTTTCTCGGAATGTCGTCCGATGGTGCTCGTTACAAAAGTGGTTACAAGTGTTGTTAAACTGCCCGAAATGGGTTCAGAAAAATTGGAAAACTCTCAGCCCAATTCTAAGCCTCAAAGTAAACCCTACGGTAAAATAGTGCTCTCTTTACACAATTGTTTGTTGCCCCCCGAAAAGTTACAGCACACACCCTCGCAGCTCGAAGGCCTAGATTCAGAAACCGAAACGGATTTGAGGATATTAGGATGCGAACTAATTCAGACTGCTGGCATACTTCTGAGGCTTCCTCAAGTAAGTATTTTCATTTTTAAACTCGCACCTACACTTGAAACTGCACAAACGGAAATAACTCTTTACCCCGATAGTTGCGGATGGTGATGCAAGTAGGAAGTATGTACCATATTTCATCCCTAGGCCTATTGCTTTTGGTGTCTTTGAGTCGAATTAATATGTCTCTCTTTATAATATAATTCAAATTAAGCTTCTTTTCTACTGTGGTACGCTCAGTGTGATAATTTTTCGTCATTACTGCTCTTTCATGATCAAACCTGCTGCCTCCATGTCGACCATTGTTCTAGAATGTGTGAAGTCATTGTAGGTCATTTGAATGTCCCTTGACTATTTATAGCCTGGTGTTTCTTTTCTGTGGATTTTTAAGTGTTATCTGCCCTATACTTTCTTGAAATATTTAGTATCATACACCCATGTACGTATTTTACTGAGTTTACCATGTATATGTGGTAGCAAGTATCGAGTGTCCCACTTTCACAGCGGCCATTTTGATCCATCTCCATCACTTCCAAATTTCACTCATACCTATAGTGGTTGATTTCTGGACCATGTAGTGTCTAAAATCTCCAGCACTACTACAACGGGAAGGTGCATTTTTGACACAGGATGAGAAACCAATTTACTAATTCTTACTAGTTGGAATCTTGAATACTTGGAACCCATATCCGGTGACCTTGAAACCAGCTGGAATGAGACGACCGTACTTATCCTTGAGTTTGTAAAGTGTATTTGGATCACATTTAGCCATTGAGAACTTTAGGTTCAATGCATAAATAGAGACACTATAAGCGCCTCCAGTTTCCCTACGCTAATAGGTGCTTCTATGGATGAGCTAGAAACTTTAGTTCCTCATTCTATATTGCATGCAAACTGTCTGATTTTGTAACCCATCAAGATCAACTGAGCACTTCAGAATGTTGAATCATTTTTCAAATCCATAATCCAAGGTCTGATCTCTTTCACTTGTCTGCTTTGTATCCCTGAGCTGAATTTGAGCAATTCCTACTTAGCATTCCTGGCGAAATCGTGTGAGAGCGCGTTAGCAATAGCTGTAGATGTAAATTAAAAAACCTATAGGGACGTTGAGCGGGCGCGACCCCCCCCCCTCCCTTAATAAGTTTCCCCTCAACGATCACCCCAGTGTACTCCAGTCACAGTATTCAATAGTTTTTCTTAAATTGAAATGTTGTTTCCGCCATGGAAATGTAGCTCATTTGGTTTACCTTATATTGGACTTTCCGAAGATATTTTTTCCTTTGCATTTAATGACTTTTCACGTTTTAAATCAATTCCTTCCTATTTGATCCTGTGTGTCCTCCGTAGTTGCAACCTCTTAACCTCGAACCATAACCAGGTACGGATAGGTGGTATTGGTTTTAGGCTGTCTCTTAGGTATGGATTGTAATCTAGACAGAGACCTTAATTTACAGTGAGCAAGGTAAGACTGCCCTAGGGCGGAAAACGAATCTCACATGAATTGCTGCAACCTGTTCACATAGTGTAGATTTGAGGAAAGAAAAGATTAGCCTTAAATTGTTAATGATTGGTTATATACATTTATTTGAGTAAATATAATTGCCAGCAGCAGCACTCAAATAAAACTTGATTAAAATCTACAAGCTCCAGAGCTCGCGCATTGTATGTTGAGACAACCGTCAATCTCCGATTAGCTTAGAATTTGCATCACTCAACAGGTTAATACATTTAGTCAGGTGGCACCACTGGTGAATGGTGACATAAACCAATACCATCTAACCATACCTGGTCATGGGTTTGAGGTTAAATGTTCGTAACTCCCGAAAACACACGGGATCGTATAGCGGAGGACTTAGAAAAGTTGATTTTTTTATATGAGAAAGTGAATTTATTCTGGGCGTGATATTTTCAGTTGAATATCTTGGCAAGCTTTATCAAAAGAAACAAAGTTTTTCGGCAGAATCACATTTTAAATTAAGGAAAAAAGTATTAAATGCATGTCACTATGCGGCAGTTAACCGGGAAACGTATGCAACCCGCCAAACGTAGCCCGGCGGCTTCCCTTTGTTCTTGGGAGATATTACTCACACACTCTCACACGTATTCTCCAATGGCCAGGAATTCTAAGTAGGAATTGCATAAACAATACTTCGACGTTTGTCTCAACATACGATGCGCGAGGTCTAGTAACTTTCTCAATAATAATTACACCACACCCATAAGCTAATAGAACTGAGTACAAAACCTCTTATGAATAATATAATCAATAAATATCCATAAAAATATGAAGTAATGATGATAATAATAATAATAATAATAACTGAAAGAAAATATATGTGTGTATCTGTAATTTTATCAGAATTCCTGCCAATTACCCCTCACTAAGAATCCTTTGGGAAGTTAAGGAATGTTTTAATCCTATGAAACTTGTCATCCTGTTTGTCTCTGAAGTTTAATTTTCTGTTAACTACCCCAATAAATTTGTACGTATTATGTTGTTATTTTCCTCCTGAAACCTCTTATGCCTAAATTGATCATTTGATTTCTTTTCCAGGTTGCAATGGCGACAGGCCAAGTTTTATTCCAACGATTTTATTATTCCAAATCGTTTATCAAGAACCCAATGGAAACAACTGCTATGGGTTGCCTGTGTCTTGCCTCAAAAGTTGAAGAGGCACCCATGAGGATTCGAGATATCATAAATGTATTCCATCATATCAAACAAGTCAACAATCAAAAGTAAGTAGAGCTTTTTATTTACTATGGTGAATATCGGATCTATGGTTTTTTTTAAATATTGCTGGAAGTAGAATATCCTTTCATGGGCACTCGACGAATCTTTCACTTTAGAAAGTTTGTCAGAAGCATGAAATCAATGTTAGTTAATTTTCTTGTTGAATTTAAAACCATAAATCTGATGTTTCAATGTTGTTTGTATCATTTTCTTATGATCCTTTTTGGTTGCCACGGGTTTTTTTCCTCTTGTTTGTAAGTTCATTGGTGACAGCCAGTGCCAGCCATTCTGAACGAACAGTTTTCAATAAATCCTGAAGTCACCTCAACGCTCTCATCTGCCCAGTGCTTTGTCAAAGTTTTACTTGGACATAACGCTTAGTTAGTTGATGGATTTGTTTATTGAGACTAAATCTACCATACTTATTCTGATTTAGTTGAAGTTAAAAAATGATGACCTTAATTTTCCTGCAATACTAAATATGTCGATTAACAAACTTGGTGTTAGCATGGAAGTATTGTATTGGCATTGCATTGGGCTATTGTGGCTGAATGGCTTGGTTTCCATGAGTAAAATGCAATGGGTCATTAATGCAACTGTTGAGTGTTGTCAAGTAAAACCAAGCGGTGCTGCTTCTTTTCGATCAAGACAAGTCACGAACAGACTATTGAATAAATGTTCCATGAACCGCTGCCTGTGTTAGATGTTGATCAAAACTTGCCCCTCAAATTTGATTTGCTACACTCAACAATGCATTCATGACCCATTTTTGGATTGTGAAAACCAAGCTTGTGTTGTTGATTCATAGAGACTTCTCCATTTAGCTGTCTCACCTCTGCCACCATTCAATCAGAACATTCGCCCTTCCAAGTCTGCTCGGAGCTCTTTTCAGTTTTAGAATCATCAACTGTCGATTTTATTGCTAAAATTTTTGCTATGTCATTTTTTCGTGTGTCAAGAAATTTTTGAAAATTGTTTCATTGCGTTAGGAACAAGGGCTTGATAAGCTTTTCCCTCTTCCCAATTTTGTTCTCATTTTTAGATCGATATTTTTTCATACTGAGTATTTCATTTGAAAAATGATTTACATCGTCTTTTTCTAAAAATACACTTTCTGCATAATGTAATCAAACAATGTGCAGCTGCTCCATGTAAAAATCTTTGTTTTGCCTCTATTTTTGTCAGCAATGTTGCGTCAGCGCTTCTCATTGAAAAATCAAATTTTCCCAACTTCAAAACGATTTAAGTCTCATTGTTATTCTTTCAAAAGCCTGCCAGGACTGTTCTGAAATGTTCATTTTGTAGCAATCTTGACACCAGTATTAAATTGATTTGAGCTAAGGTGCTAGATAATTTTTAATCAGAATTTTCACTCTTTTTCACTACAGATGACATGGTGGTACACTTTCCTGTAATGTGAGCCAAAAGAGAGTTTTTAAAATAGTGACCTCATTTGGTTGATACAGTGAAGAAAGGTTGGATCTGTGGTTTTTTATGCCAGATTCTGTGAATCATCAATTTATTTCCTTGACCAAATAATGCTACAATTTCCTTATGTGTGTAAAGGTCCCGATTGAAAAAGATGTAGTGCCTTAGCTCAATGAAATCTGATACTAAGCTCAAGAACCAGCTTTAGTTTTTGACCTTGAGTAATCAGGAACTGGCTGACTAGCAGGAAACTAAGTTTGCCATAACCTGCCTGAATTATGTATCATAGTTGCAATAGCATTCATGGATTCAGCTTTAAGATGACTTTCCGCCTATCAATTTATCCTGTAGTTAAGTGTAGAGAGTATCAACATTAACTCAGTGAGAGAGTTTTCTCCTCCCCAGTACGTGAAGGAATAATTTAGAAGGACTCTTCACTTCAACTGTGATAAGTTCAAAAACTAAAAATTCCATTTCAATTAATCAGAAATGTGTACAATTTTTGTTTCAACTTTCTCCTGAAGTTAAAATTTGCTTTCACTCATTACTGCAATGAAATATTTGAATTCTTTGAATCTATCTTAGTATTGGTTAACTTAGTTTGTTGCAAAATTTCCTGATGAATTAGGATTTTTTTCTCTGAAGAAAAACAAGGATTTGTAATATCTCCTGGCCCCATTCATTTTTAAGTAACACTTCGTAAGAATTTGTAGGCACTTCGCCGGAGACAATGCATATATTTACTAAAAATGTTAATGAAGAGAAATTGAAATGCTGTTGCCTGTAATTTGGGTTGATGGGGGGGATTGCTTTGAGCACAAAAGTCATTTATGAACTTGCCTTTTCACAGATGCTTTCCACAGCCGAGCATCTCATAAAAGCTGGGTGAGTTGCGCTCGTCCAGCTAAAGTTGGCTTGTGGGGAGAAGAAAGATGGTCGCCAGCCGCAGAAAACTCACGGGTGATGGACAAAGCGACTCAACATTAGTGTTGTCTTTTGTCTCCGTTTCCATAGCTCTGAGTTCAAAGCGACTCCTAACAAGAATTCGTTTTCATGGTTTTTATTGCCCATAGTTTAACTATTATTAAAGTCTCGTCGTTTATATCATACCGAAAGTTCAGCGGCTCGTGGATGTGATGCTGTCTTCAATACTGGTAAATCGTTTACTTCCAATTTTCTTATCGGGGGTGGAGAGAATCATACTTCATATGTTAGGTTACCTCTTAGAAAGAGAAGACTTGAACGCAATGCAACTTGGAAAGAGCATTTAGATGTTTGCAATTTAGAGAGAGCAATGGAAGGGCTAAGAACAGAAGTAAGTAGGAGAGCGTTGCCCAACAATGCTGGTGAGATGATTGTACAAATTATTAGCAAGAAAAATTGCTTGGATAATAGAGTTTCCACCCCTGACTTGTATCAGACCATTTCATTCATCAGTTATAGTAAGAGGAAAATGATTAGATAATTAGTTGAGGTCACTTCACAATATTTTAAATGGTACAGATCTTCACTGAGTACCCAACTCCGTCATTATTTAATCATAAAATCTGTAACAGTTGGAATCTTGTTTAGTATCCTCAACTAATTTTCTCACAAGTACATATTCCAATCAAGCACTTATAAGCCTACTTGAAAGATACCATGATTTCAATATAAGAATTTCAGGCTTTAATTGAATGTCATTTTTTGACTCTCATGTAACTCTCTGCTTAAGTGGGAGTGTTTTAGTAGCTATAGCTGTGTGTTGAAGTTTGCTTTTTCATTAGTGAATACCTAAAGGACCAAGTATCTGCTAATTTTTCCTCGCCAGAACTTCATAATTATGTTACCCAGCTACCATCAAAGACGAGCTAATTATTCATTCAAAATCCATTACTTCAATGTTTATGATCTCGTTTGCTTTACCTTCACTGGTATGTATATTTAATTACTGCTTCTCCTTCTTTAAGCAAAATCCTACATTCCACTTGCGAAATGCTTCAGATAATCCATATTTTTATTCAGGTTGGGTGTTTTCTCCAAGTTCAATCTGTACCTAATTGCCTCTAGTCAATATCGTGAAGAGAGCTAATCATGCTCTGTTTCAATTCTTTGTTTCGAATAGATGTAAGATTTTTAGTTTTATCATGACATGTCAGAATTTTTATGTATAATTCTATGAACTACTTGAATACTGTGTTCCTTGTTAATCTTATTTTTTAAGATTTTTACATGTATTTACGGGAGTTGTGCATCTTGTCTGTTATGTTTCAACTGAAATGTTTTATCTGTATTTTCACGTATTGCTGAAAGGGCTGTTCAATCTGTACAAGTAGCAGCACACAGGCTCGTTAGCCATTTTATTAACTATCAGTGCAACGATTATTTCAAGATTATCCTATTCTCTATAAGTCTGAAGCAGCTCTTTTAGACCTATTTAAGCCGGCGGACAACTTGAAGATTGTACATTAATTTTCATAATGACCATGTTTCTCCCTTATTTTGTTGCTTATATTTTGTTGGAGATCATCTAGAGCACAACTAATTCAATGTCATCGATCGAGATGTCAAGGATTTGAGAGGATATTCTTCCAGCCTATGTGAATACAAACGCACATTTTGCCCCTGTATGAGATGTAACAGAAAAGAACTGTTGAGATTGAGCCAATTTTATCAAGGAACTCAGTCACCACCAGTAGGAAAATATTACGGGCATAAAAATTCGACTATTTCTGATGAGTCACAACAGCGAAGCTCCTGTAATGGTAAGAAATAATCAGATCAAGTAAAGAAATTGATAACTTGTGTATGATTAAAACTGTCATTGGTTTAAATTAACGATTTACCTCTGGTCACTCTGGCTAATTTATAAATCAAGGTTTATTTTTTTCTTCAATTGCTATCACTCAGAATTTTTTTTTTTTTTTTGCCACAAGTTCAAATGTACTAGTCATTGAAGTTCTTTTAAACTGAGAAGAAAAATCGGTAATCAAGTTTTTTGTTGCTTTTACAGAAGGTTGTGCTCTTGGTGTTCTTCGTTGTTTGTTAATACACGAAGCTGTGTTGATTTTTGTTCCATTATCGGTGGCATCAGTGTCATTTTTCGAGCTATGATTTTGGAAAATTACCACACATCATCATCAATCTAGTTGACTTTTCCCCTTAAACTGCTTGGAATGTGACTAAAATACCCATAAAGTTGATACATCAACTGAAAAAGTATTGGACTTGACACTACGGAGGTTAACTCAAAGGTTTGGTACAGGTAGTTTTTTCCATGAACTGCCTTTCAATTTGTCTTACATGTCACTGTCGAGTGAATTAAAAAGTGTTTGCTGTTCGATTTGAAGTTAGAACCTAAGTCCAAAGATTTTGATTTCTTTCCGCCGCTAGAGAGGCATCATCGCATCAAATTTATAAAATTTTGTTGCAATGGAAGCTAAACGTCTTTCTTCTAAGGCTGTGCGTGATATGGAGTGTTCATTTTATCTCAGCCTGAAAATTTGTGTGGATTTTTGATGTAACAAAATTAACTCAAGCAGAACAATCCGGAGTTACCGTAATTATAATATTTTGTAGTTTTACCTACACCTCTGAA